TCAGAACTGAGGTTTCCTAATTTCTCCTTCGTTAGAGATAAAGAATTCCACTAAAACATACGTTCTAATGAAAGGTTCTTAATTTGGCCATATTCCCTTGGACATATAGAGTAGTTTCAAAAGTCCTGAATGGCTCTTCCGGAAGTAATTACACTTGAAACAGTGCAAACTTAAACTGATTGTGATCACATGATTCATGACACTTTTGAGAAATGAAATGGTAACTTGCATAATTTAAATGCTTCCTTGGACAATGTTTTACTTTTAAAATACATATAACACTGTTTAAAGAGCATTATCTTTAATGTACAATTCGGTGTCACTGTGTACATTCACAATTTGTACAGCAATAACCACTACATATTTCACTTTTAATTGTACTTTAGAAAGAATCTGATAGGCTGAATGTTTCATAGTTATTTTAAATAAGAGGAAAGTAAAATTAAATGCAATCTAAATATATACATTTTTGGTGATGAAAAGAGTGTTTTCCCCCCTGAAATATAATTTGAAATGTAATTTTCCTGTGTTGGTTTAAAAAAAATAGAGTCCATTGTAACCCATTAATTAATGGATTATTGAAATATTATTTAGCCTAGACTCTCTAACTGCACATACAAAAGAAAACTTTTTCCTCCAAAAAGATAAAAACAATATAAACATTATAAAGTCCTGAATAATTTTTGCATGTCAATGTTTTTATCACTATCTCAATTATTTTTCTGTAAAACTGATAAAGAAATATATGTGTGTATGTATATATATATGTATATGTACATATATGCGTGTGTGTATACATATATATGTGTGCACAGACATCCCAACGAACAAATTTTTTAAACAGTTTTCTGTGGGAATATGGTCAATAGCACCCAGTTTTGTGTTAGATTTTAAAGTAAATCTAAACGTCAGGAAATCCTACATTTATTGGAGATGTTTTATCACAACACAAAAGCACGACACTTTCAGAAGAGGTTCCCACCTTCCACAAGTGCTTTTTGCATAGTGTACCTAGTTTTCCATAAGCTGGAGCAAAAGGCAAGTTGGCAACAGAACAAAACATCTGATCTTTGGAATATCATTGCTTTTCATCAAATATCACCGGCAAGACTTACTAAGTGCAGGGGTATATTGCTGAGGAACTAAGTTCTAGTGCTGTCTTCTGTTCTCCTAATGAAGTTGTATCCAGTCCTGAAGGAGAGGAGGGAAGAAGGCATGTGTGAAAGGAAGACTTCCCCTGAGCCTGCTTGAGGCAGTCTTCATTTTCCATTGTTCATCAGCTGGACAAAAGTGAACACTTTGGTGAATTATCCTAAATATAGTATGTGGATGCCAAAAGCTTGCTTTTCTACATATTCATTTGGCTGTACATAGGTTTGACACTCATTCACACATCTGATTGCTTTACCAAACAGCTTTCTTTGGAAGTTTTAGTGATCTGGCTGAATTAAAGTCTACATTTAGAAGATCCTGGCTTCCAGGACTTCTCCTCAGTTATCCTGGTTTATTGATTTCATGTTCATCTGGGTTTGAGAATCACAGCCATAGATACTGGTATCTATATTTTACATTTACAACCTGGGTGTCTCAAGCAATCCATATTCCTCATAAATAAATTTAATAAATATCCCTCCAATATATTTGGCAATGAGAACTGATTACATATGTGTTACACTGCTGCATTTCAAAAGAATATCATGTAGCTCAGTGTTAGAGTGCTTACCCAGTATCTGAAAGGCCCTGGGTTTCAGAACCAGCAACTGAAAAAAAAATTAAATGTATATATATATATAAAGAAATTCAACAAGATATACTCACTTATTCTAAAAATAATATTTAGTGTACAATGGTGCTAATATACTATATCTTTAAAATGATTTAAAACTTCTCACCTGTTAGCTAGAGGATCCACATGGACTTAGAGACTTGCATATGTGCTTTAAATCTGAAAGCATTTATTGAAATCCAATCATACTTTTGGGGAAAATATCTACCACAGTGATACCCAAAGATTGAATAACTCAGAACTGTAACAACTATAAAACCGCCTAGTCTTAAAATTTATGAGTTTTGATGCTTCCAGCTTATGGTACGGTAGTAGGTGATTGGTTTACTTTTATGTAACTTATTAAGCAGCAATGTTAGCAAAGCCTCTAGTTGGAGGAAGAGTCACCATTTGTGTCCTGACTTTGTGTTTTTGTATTCTCTTCCCTCCCTAGGTGTGATAGCAGTTGTGATATTTATTTTGCTCTGCATCTCTGCAATAGCCATCCATATTTATCAACAGAGAAAACTGCACAAAGAAAGTGAGTCAAAGGTCTCAAAAACTGAGGAGTGCTAGGACTTCTCTGGAAGTGAGCTCAGTATCAAAACACAGTGGAAGTCAGAAAGGCTGTCTTCTGATTGGCAGCTGTTACTGACCCACTATCAGATTGTTTGCCAGTGCTGTTCCTGCCATCACAGAAGTGACAATGCCATCAACTTGCTGAAGACCTGCAACCTCAGAGTTCTAGAGGGCCCTGCTTGCCTCTGTGAGACAAGTCCTCCACTACTGATCTACGCCGGTGAATCAAGGAGGGTTTGAATCACCATTGAACAGGTCCCACAGTTTGAAGGTCCTATTCTAAAACAGAGGATTAATTTGTATAATAATTGTGGCTTTTCACTGAGAAAAATGGCCATGAAGCTCTGATCCTACTTTCTTAAAAATGGAACAGAACTTTTATTAGGGTTTAAAGACAAAGTTCAACTCTAATGTTTTTTGTTACTTGAAAACTTATCTGAGATCCCTTTACTGTGCCCCTGGTGATATTTATAAAATAGGAAATGCTTTTTAGGTCATTGTCACTGGTATTTCCATTGTTCTGCAATCCAATACCAAGTGGTATACCAAAAATCAGTAGCAGTTCTACTTTCCCTATCTGATGGTCAATACAATGTAATAGAAGTCTGGATATGTTATTGCCTTTGGTTTATTGCTTTTTCTAATCAGATGTTTTTAATCATTTTGATAAATTTTAATGTTGAAATTAGTATCAAATATTAATTATAAAATTTTACTATTAAATTTTGTAATGAGACAGAAAATTGATGGGTGGCAAGGTACATAGAAGATGTCAAGAGAGCCTGCCTATTTTTCTTTGCAATGTATAATTGCTATAATTTTTGTAAATTGTGATTATGCTTTTATCTTAATTAACCAGATATAAACATTACTTCTAGTACTGTAAGTTATACTTCAGTGACACTTATATCTTAGTGAAACATTAATTTTTCCTCTGATATGTAGTATAGTTAGTCTTTTTTTTTGTGCTCCAAATGCCCTCAGGGGTGGTTTGGCTGGCTAGAGTGTTGTGGGGATCGAACTACAGCAACCTGAGGCTGACAGCTTTGTGGAAGCAGCCACTTAAACAACTGAGCTAAGGCCAGGCCCCCTAGTTAGTCTTTTCTTATCATCTTTTTTTTCTAAAGTTTGCTCTCCATGTCTGTGATTTCCTGTGACTCAATTATACAGAAAATATGAAGAAAATTAACTCCAGCTCCTTTTCTAAATTTTGAATTGTCCTAGGCATGAATATCATCATACAATATAATCTTACCTAATCGCTTTTGAAATGTAAACTGAGGCTACTCTCTCCAAGGAAGCACAGCATTAGGTTAAATCTGTATTGCGATCAATCTGTTCTTAAGCACAGATTTACGATCATAGGGCTGAGTTCTTCTACATAGGCAAAATTGAATATATGCTATTCACTGAAATGTCCCTTTAAGGTTTACACAAACACCAAAATAGCAGATGACTGGAATTATCTTTATTGGGACAGTTCCAGGAACTGACACTGAGGCAGTGGATAGTTGATAATTGCATTGAACCACCATTCAGCATCAGTGAACCAATTATATAAAAACAAGATGCTACTTTCCATAACCCAGATATGAACTACCTGTCAGAGACTAGCTAGATCACATAGTTTTCACATCAGGGCAATTTGAAACCGTAACCACCTAGTATTACTACTACAGAAGTGAATGTCCATCTTCCTAATTGTGTTCTTTTGAAAGACTGAGTATTGATACTCTGTCTTAAGTCTTGCTCCCAGCAAGCAATAGCCTCTCAGAATACTGCAGCTCTGCTGGTGTTTCAGTGAATGATGAAGGAGTATTATCTCTACTATGTTATTCTCTTTATGTTTTAATATGTTTGGGAAACAACATAATATCTTTTTTTGTTGTTGTTGTTTTTTCTCAAGGTTTTATGAAGGTTAGGGAAGGATTCAACAAAGATATAGTAATTTTATTAGTCAGTGTATGCATTGTATAACCACTGACACCTTCACAGATATTTATTTTATTGCACAGAAGATTTTGGTAGCTGGAGTTTCATAGAATTATAGAGAATGCTGCACCATAGTCCAAGGTTCTCTGCTCTTTTTTGTTGTTGTTGTTCTTGAAAGACAGCTAAATGGAAGCAACAAACTGCACTGATGCATGATCTCCCATCAATCTTCTGTACTGATTTATAAATTTTATCTTTTTATTTGAAAATAAATTGATTTTTGATGAAAATAAAATTATTCTGAGGGAAATTGTGTAAAGTTTAAGTTACAAAAGTGTGTGTTCTTGCTAATTTATACAAAATGTGCAAATAAGTATATTCTGTACCAGTTTGTGCATTACTTTACATGTGTATATTTTGTGATTACTAAGATCTGTTTACCTTTTTATGATCTAATATTTATAATGCAGTAAATTATTCCTTTTAATTATTAAATAAAAATGAAAAATATAAATGTTTACTTATTGCTTAAAAGTTGTATGGATGTATATAGCTAAAGGTTTGTGAGAGAGAAACCATTTAACAATCAACTAGATGTTATCATCTTCACAATGTGGATAAAATTAGAAAATGTCACACTAGGTGAAAGCAGTCAAACCCTGGGAGCCAGAACTGCATGTTCTCAGTTCTTTGTGGAGTCTAAAACAATTGACCTCGCAGAAATAAAGAATCAAATAGCAATTACCAAAGGCTGGAGTAGGGAAGAATAGAGAGATGATAATAAAGTACAGGACCTCAGTTAGCTATGAGGAATAAGTTCTATTTTCTCTCTTCATTTTGTATTTATTTATTTACTTTTCAGATCTACTCAGTGTGGTGACTACCAGTTATAACTAAGTTCAATTTTCTTGTGGCTGGGAGGATGGATTTCAAGAACCTTTACTACAAAAATGTCAGGCACTTTAAATGACAAGTATGTTTATGGCTTGGTTTGACATATTTGACAAATATAATTAGTTCATTGTTTAACATACTATCTCATTGGCCAATTTTGGATGAGTTGGGTGTTTTCTTAAGTGGCATTTTGGCAATTACATTTAAAGAGAAGATACCAACTCTTCATTATAATATATCTTATTCCAAGAATCACAAAGTTTCTCTGCTGATAAAATATCAAATAACATATAGTTGAAATCTTTCTCTTCCTCACATAGCTCCTAATGGATGTAGTTCAAGTGATGCCCTTTCTGATGTGTTATTACAGTAGCTACTAATGGGCTTTAAGTTAATGTACTTTAGTAGAAATGCAGGTAATATTTAATTAACAAGTTCAAAGCTGCTGCTACTAAGTCTAGGATTTGTCACTCCTCAATTATATCATTAGGGAAATATGGTGAAGAAATGTTTCCTGAATTCTCCCACTGATAACATGTTTTATTGCCCATAAATTCATCATGGCCTAAAATTATAGCTTTACATTTTATTGTTACTTTTTGTTAAATGGGAGTGTATTAGTCAGTTGCCCATTGCTGGGTAAAATACCTGACAACTCTCACATAAAGGATGAGAGGTTTATTTGGTTCATGCTTTCCAAGGGCTCAATCCATAGTCAGGTGGCTACAGAAAAGGAACATTATGGTGGAAGGATGTGGCAAAGTAACACTGGCTAGTTCATGTCATCCAGTAAGAAAAGCAAAGGGACAGTATCACACAGGAGGGGAACAAGGACCAGATATAATTCCCAAGACCACATCTCTGTGACTCATCTGGTCACATTCAGAAGTGTGCTTTGTCAACTCCTGAGCAACTCCCAAGGCAATCAAGTTGATGATTACACATAAACATAAGATGACATTTGTTCTATAAATATAAAATATATACTTAATTATTTTGAAATATGAAAATTTATAAGAGTTTGCATTACTAATATTTAAGATCACATGCATACCTGTGATCCCCGTACTTTGGAGGCTGAGGCAGGAGGATCACCATGAGTTCTAGGCCAGCCTGGGCTACATAATGAGCCCAGACTGAACAGCACAGTGAAACACTGTCTCAAAAAACAAAACAAAACTCAAAAAACAAACAAGAAAGGTCTTAAGATAATACTATTTGATTGCATATTATGCCACCAATATCACATTTTAACTCTTTAAATAGCTGATAAATCAGGTAAAACACTCATTTATCTCCATTTTTACAAACCACACTTAAAGCTTGGTTTGCTTTGATAAAATGTTACAAAATATTTTTAATTGTTAAATTTTCCTTTTCTTCCAAATCTTTAAGAAATGATTCATATGTTCTCTGTGTGTGTGTCTGTCTGCTTTCTGCCCCCTGTCTGTCTGTCTCTCTGTCTGTCTGTCTGGCTGGCTGGCTGGTGCTCTCTCTCTCTCTCTCTCTCTCTCTCTCTCTCTCTCTCTCTCGTATATTTATAATTTTATTTTAATTCTGGTCAAGATGGGAAATAGTATATTTATTCTCCTGTGTGAAATAACCTGAAATGAGACAAAATACACAATATAATCGGACACCAGACTTTGAAAACAAGCCCTGAAAGATGGGAAACAAATGAGATAGATCAGTGCTATGATCATCCCACTTTTAGACTGATAGTTTTTAGACAACAATGCAAGGAGTGGGACACCTAGGGACAGACTATCAGAACTCAGAGCTGAGTAGGTGCTACTGAAAGTTCATTGCAGTGTAAGAGTCAGAGAAGAAAAGGCCACACCTCGAGCAAGCTTTAGGGATCCTCAGAGCCTCCCTTCATTACCCAGCAAAGTGTTGAACAGCACAAGAGTGTGAGGAAAGAGCTGAACTCACTCAATTAGAGCGGCGCTTACCATCCTTTAAAAATATTACTGACCAGCTTGTGGAGTTTTTAAGATTTTTTTCACCAATCGCTCCTTTATTTTATTATAATATACAGTTTCTCTGCCTTTTCCTTAGTACTATATCTGTGCTTATACACAAGAGTATATTTATTTTTTCCTTCCATGAAATAATTTTTCCTATTAGGGCTGGATTCCCTGGTTGAAAAGTCATGGAACAGAAGAAACAGAACATAGTTTTCACACAAGACAAGGGATAAGATTGGCTGCCATCATCTCTCCTGGAAACCTTAGTACTTCACAGGGATCTGAGTAGAGCACTCATAGGGATCTTGTCT